GTTTGTGTGTGTGTGTGTGTGTGTGTGTGTGTGTGTGTGTGTGTGTGTGTGTGTGTGTGTGTGTGTGTGTGTGTGTGTGTGTGTGTGTGTGTGTGTATAACAGGGAATCTCTAAGCCCTAACAACCCCCCTCCCCTCACGTCTCACTACTCATGTTACAGTACAGTCCTTATATTTAAACAAGAGAGAGGGACAAGCGGAAAAAAAGAAGCACAAAAAATGCAAAAACAAGAGGAAGTAAGACGAAGGGAAAACTCAAGATAAGAGAGGCGGGGAGGCATGGAGAGGGCAGAGAGAGAATGAAGAGGGCAGGGGGAGATACAACTGACAAGGTTGGAGTTGAGAGAGACAGACGGACGGACAGAAAAAGAGTGAGACTGACAAGGAGAAAGAGACATAAGGAGGTACTTACCGGATGCCTGCCCTGAGGGTACATGATCCCAGGAGAGGGGAGGCTGCCAGTCCGTTTGATGGCCAGGTTCGTCCCCTGGCCCTCCACTCCTCTGCCCTCCACCGGTTACACACACACACACACACACACTCTCTGTAAGTCCTGCTCCTTAGCTGGGTTGAAGGCAGCAGTCCACTTCCAGAGTCTTGTGTTTTTTCTCCTTTTCTTTTCTAGGGCGAATTCCTGTTGACACACAACTGAAGAGCGCTCAATCCGTCGCTTCGTTCTCCCACTAATGTCATGATAAAACGAAGCACCAGACTTGACCTCCTTCTTCTTCTTCTTCTCACAGTGAAAGTCTCAATCACCCCACCTCCCCTCAGTGTCTCTCTCCCTTTTCCTCACCCTGGGATCAGTCAAGGTCCACACGTAGTGACACCGAGAATTTCATCCAGGCAGGTTTCCCTCCTCCCTCCTCCTCCTCTTCCTCTTCCTCTCCTCCTGGTGCCCCTTCACCCAGCCGACCAATGGAGAGACATACAAACATAAACACACACTCAGCTCCGTGCAAATAGTCTCTGCTTTTTCCCTCCTCTTCAGCCTCTCTCTCTGACACACTGAGTCTGCCGCAGAAAAGAGGGAAAGAAGAAGAGAGGAGGGAGGGGAGAAAAGAGAGATAGAGAGGGAGGGCTTTGTTTTTAATCTAAATGTGGAAAAAAAAACGCGAGGAGAGCAGGAAAGAACAGCAGGTCAGTGGAGGATCCAGCGGGCTTTTCAGCAGCAAGCCCTAGACTGTAATATATTGTGCCTGTTGGCTTCAACACAAACACGACAGGCTGCTAAAGCTCCTCTTAAGGTGGAACTGAGTAGATAGAGACACACAGAGGAAAGGGAGGGAGGGAGTAAAGAGGAGAGAGATGGATCCCTTTTCAATTGTGGTCAGGCAGACAAAGCAATCAGTCATGCACAAAGACTCAAACTGATATGAATCGAGACGCACACACACAAACGCTCCGACATTCAAATTCATGACAGCTTCGCGGACACACAGGCAGTTCAGTTGCACACACACACACAAAGTAGTTACTCAGTGATTATCAGCCAGTTTACACCTTGCATAAATATGACACTGACGATTGGATAGCTGTCCTATCACGCGTAATGGCGTATGAATCCAGATGTAAGCACACTTATGATGCTCTGATGGACTGATGTGATTACTCAGACCTCCTCAGGAAGTGGTCTGCATTGCATCCAGATGTTTGTCTACTCTACGATGCATCATCATGTCAAACCACATGCGTCCCTGCAGAGAAACGTCAACCTAAGAGCAACATAAAAGTAACATTACTCATGAGTAAATGGTTTAGCAGTCAACATGACAAATCAGACCCAGAAAATGGAAGTATGCTTTTTGGGTTTTGTTTGCATAAAGTATTTTGCTTCAGTAAAATGCCAAACCACACCAGATGTGTGTAGAAAAACATTTCATTGTGTGAACTAAATCAGTTAAACATGACACAATGAATAGAGACATTCCCAAGTTTATTTGGAAATGCTTCTCAAGATTTTGAACTCAATTTGGCAAAATAAAATGTTATTTGCAATAATCAGACTTTAGCCATCTTTAGCCATTTCTGCCTGAAAATCACTTTATCGATTATTATGAGAATAGTTGCCGTTAATTGTCAATTTGTAATATAATCCTTACAGCTATTATTGATTGCACTCCGCTTTGACATGTTTCTATTCTGACCATCTGTAAACACTTGCCATACAGGAAGTGATTTATCTTCCATTGCAGCAAAAAAAAAATAGTTTGGAACAGAGCGGAAATGAGTTAGCATCTTAGCACTCTCTGTTCGCTTGTCTCGAAGTCATTGTTTTTTATTCGGTTAATGGTGTGAAATAAGGTCTGTGGTTAACACAAGCTGAATACATTACATCAAGGAAATACATAAAGTAAATGACCCACATGTGAATGTCTGAAGCTTCTATGTTTCATAAAACAAAAATGGGAAAATGAAACTACTAAACGTCATCCGCCCGAACATTAGCTGCATTTAGCTTAGCGGTGGTGAAGGGAATTCGTGCAACAGTAAAGTAGTTCCTTGATAGCATTACATTTGCTTTTTCCTTCTGACGATTGCATTTACGGATAAATTCATCTTAAAAGTTCGTGTCAATATGTGATTTATGCTGAATAAAACATGTAAGTATCATTTGCCACAGAGCTTAATTGGCGGAATATTCCAATATTTTGTTGATGGAGCCTTTGAGATGCTAACTTCCCGATCGGCCTACAAAAATACGTCATCAATGCACCAATGTATCGACGTTCAGTAAGAGCTGGGCAGCTAACACCCAAATAAGAACTGCTACAAACAACAGAAAGTCAAAAGGAAATGTGCATGAAAGCAGGACCGTCACATTGTGTAGTGATATCAGGAAAAACTGCAGTGTGCTCACATTCACTACCAGCCAAAGATGGCATCAAATCAATAAAAGTGAAGTATCTGGAGGATGACGACTTTAACACCCCAGAGATATCCCCTCTACAGCGAGATAACAACGTCTCCCCGGCTTCTTCTGACCGCCCGCTCCCCTGCATGTTATTTACAGGACTGCCCAGAATGGAGGTGGTGTTTAAAGCCTCTACATGTCGTGTGCAGCAGTCTGGCCCTGCCGTGTTTTGGCTGCAGTTTTTTATAATGAGTTTATCCAGGGTGGCTCTGCCTTTGAACTTGAACCGAACATTAATCTGACGCTGCAGAATGGGACTCAGTCAGTCTTGGCATCCGTGGAGGGGTTTCCAGTAAGACAGGAACCCCATTTGATAACAAGCGGGTTATCCAGAGGGCAGCTTCAAAGCCACAATTAGGCCATGTAAAGACATCCCATTATCCAAAGCAGCCTTCTAACAACACCATGGATCCATTTGGAGAAACCCAATGATGGATTATTCAATTCAAACTCAGCTAAATTAGTTTGAATTGACTAGTTTTTACCCAATATCTGATGGTTTGTTTATTATGTATGTGTACTCTAAGAGAGGACATTTGGAGAAAGGAAATAATGTATACATTTCAATACAGTACTGTACATAAAGTGTACAATATCATTCAATCAAAATACTTTATTAATCGTTTGAAATTAAATTAAACTATTTTGTGAAAGCATAAATTGTCAACCATACAGTCACAATATTGATATTCAGATATTCGGTCAAAAAGATGTATATAGGATTTTCTTCATATTGCCCATCCTTGACAATCCTTGACATTTCAAATAAGGAATGGCACATTCAAAGGTTTACAAATGAACCAAAATTCAAACAACATTGTTTTAATTAATTAAGCCTTGGTGGGGTTTTAACTAATTATAACTGTGACTACTTTGAGCATTTTGTAAGTAAGTGTTATATATTTAATTTTGAGTTTGTTTTGTATGTATCTGGAACTCTAAGAGAGAACATAGGGGGCATTTAGAGGAGAAAATAATGAATACTTCTGGATGTATCGATGAAAACGGTGATGAAGGACTTGTATTAACAGCATGAGAGCGCTGATACTAAACCGGTTGAAACTATTACCCAGCAGGCACGATTCAAAAGTCCATTTCCATAAAATCTTACAATCGTTCGTGGGTGAAAGCGAATGGAGGTTAAGAAGTAAGTTGATTTTTTTTTTTTATTATGCTCAGTTCATTAGTAAAGCATTTGTAATGTAATTAATAATAAATGACTAGGTATGAAATAGTGATGATATTTTCCAAGTAATAGTTCTTTTTTATCATTCTCACCTCAAATAATGAATAAATTAATGTCTTTGTTTAATTGATTTGCAAATTGGTTTCTACGGTTTACTTTTTTATTACTTTTACTACTTTGTATTTCTATCATATTCCATATTCCAATATTTTGTGTTAAAAGATTAGATTTAATGTCTTCTGTGATTGAATGACTCTATGAAATAATAACTACTACAACTATTACATGTTAAGGAAGTAACTGCACTTTTCTTACAACATTCAAGACAAGTTTGAGACAAAATATATGGAGTCAAAAGCCTTCCAACTTTTCAAAAATAGCCTCACCATCTGGTGGATATTTCTACTTATCAGGTTAATGGTTGTGAGTTTGAGAATACCTCAGCACCTTCACACCTGAGGGATAGGTTAAAGCAGGGGTGTCAAACTCAATTTCATCGTGGGCCACATTAGCACTATGGTTGCATTCAAAGTGCCGGTTGTAACTTTAAGACTATATAAAAATATACATATTTAATATATATAAAATAATGTTTTATTTTACATTATTTCCTCTGCATTGGATTATTATCGGATAGGGTAATAACTTCATAATTAACTACGTCTGAAAGCAGAAGTCTGGGGCAAATAATTGCAAGTTTCTTCAGTGTGCATGTCACAAAACTATTGCATTGTGGGACATGTAGTTTATGGACAATGTGCTCCTGTAAAGCGGCATGTAACCGTATAATAAACATATTTTATTCTTTCATAGCTTTTGCGGGCCAAATAAAATGAAGCCGAGGGCCGGATTTAGCCCACGGGCCTTGAGTTTGACACCCCTGGGTTAAAGTGTCTGAGTTACATGAGCTGCAGGTGTTCAGACAGCAGGAGGATGTCCTTACACACAGCGAGGGAACATGCTCACTTCACTAAGAGACACACGCTGTTCCGTAATGTTGCACCTGGTTGATATGTTATATATTTATACTGTAATCAGGGTTCATACACTTTTTCACCAATGACTTCTCCATGACCTTTACCTCATTTTCCATGACCAAAACAATTACTCTTTCTCAGCGGTACCACTGAAAATGGTTTATTTTAACATGGAACAGGAAAATAAGGTCTGCATATGAAATATGTTGAGCCTCTAAAACAAATCAAATAGGCTTACTAGCTTCTACAGACTAAAGCAACTCAAATCTCTCACCAGCAAAACACCTCGTCAGTGAAATGCCATTTTACGTTTCATTACTATACGATATAGTATTTATTATCCTTATAGTATTACTATTTGGGCAATAAGCTAAAATATAAATTATATTTTATGCAAATTGAAGTTACATTTCCATGACTTTTCCAAAACTTATTTAAAAATATTGTTTTCCATAACTTTTCCAGGGCCTGGAATTAGCATTTTGAATTTCCATGACTTTTCCAGGTGTTTAATGACCGTAAGAACCCTGGGTAATGGGTATACTGTTGAGGTATTAAGGCGGTTGAAATGTAACCTTTATGAAATGAAATCCTTGATAAACACATGACTTAAGAGGTATAACATGAAGTGTGTTATAACATCGCACGAATCTGTGGGAAAAGAAACAAACTGACCTTTGATTTATTGTTGTTTTACTCGTACCACTTTAAGAGGTCTTTGTTACTCATAGTCGGTTACTCCCTTGTTAGAAGGGGCCATGCCAGTAAGCACTAAAGATCTTTTAAAGAATTATGAATATACAAATTGTGTTATGTGCCATTATTGCCTTACTCATCACTCTCTAGACCAGGGGTGTCAAACTCAAGGCCCGGGGGCCAAATCCGGCCCGCCACTTCATTTTATGTGGCCCCACAAGAGCTTATAATAAGTTTATTA